GGACTCCCCTAATAAGCGCTAAGCACCGAGCCACTTTTTAGGGTGCTCACAAAATAAAAAGTGCAAAGCAAGCTTTGAAGCTTCTCAACAACTCTCTACACGCGTACAACGCTCGGGGGAGAGCCCGTCCCCGCCGCGGCCTCTGCCCAGCGAGGGCCAGGCCGGGCCGGGCGTGGGCTCTGTGCCCAGGCCGCCCCCGCGCCCACTGGCGTGGTGCAGACAGCACACGCACAGCGTGGTAGAGTGTGTTTCTTGAGAAACTTCTAGAAGGGAAAATAAAAGATGGAGTCATACTCACACCACCGGCAAAAGCTCTGGTCACCTGTTTGCGGTGGTGGAAGGCACCCAGCAGCCGGGAGACCTGTGTCGCCAACAGAGACACGGCAGGTGGAGGGGCCGGCGCGCGTCCACGCCAGCGGGCCCTGGCCGGCCCCACTCGACGCCGTGTCCGGCCCCTCCCGACGGCTCACCCCCGCCCTGCCGACAGCCGGCCCCAGGCGCCCGAGGCCGCGGACAGACATCTCCTTCTGAGGTGGCCACTTGCCGAGGGAGCCAGGAGGACACGCGAGGACACCGGCGCCACCCCGACCGGGCAGGTCTCCGCCCAACGCCTAAAGGTCGCGTCCCACGTGACCACACGCAGCGGCCAGGGCACGCGAGGACACGGAGGCCGCGGCGCGGGCGCCAAGGCGGGCGTGTGGGCAGCCTGGTCCTCAGAGGCCCTCCGGGCGGCGCCTGTACGGCCCGGCTGGCCCCGAGGGTTCGCTAAGCAGTGGCCTCAGAGGCCGCTCGGACTGAGGCGGAGGGCAGGGCGGTCCCAAGAGGCCCAGGCCCTCTCGCCAAGCTCAGCCCTCCACAGAGGTCACCTGGAGCGGGTCCCTGGGGCGGCTGGGCAGACTGCCCGGGGCAGGAGGCCCCGCTCTCCACCGCACCCCGACTCTTCACCCGTGGAGCCTGGTGCGGTGTCAGGGCCCAGGGGAGACAGGCCCGCAGCTCGCCCTGCCCGGCGCCCCCATCCCACTCAAGACACATTGGTGCTGCCCGCACGGGGGCTCCGGGCCGCGCCTGGTGAGGCCCCGGCCTGCCCGAGCGGCCCAGAAATGCCCGCTTGGCTACGCAGCGCCAGCTGAGCCCGTTTCCAGACGGCGCCC